CCTATTGCTAAAATAAGCAATGTATTTGTTTCAGGTAGGCCCTCTGAACCTGGAGGATTTCACAATGAGAACAACTAAAAAAAGCCATGCTCCAGTTCAGAAAAAATTAAAAAAAAAAGAAGAAGAAGAAGAAAAGAAGTATAGCGCATGAAGGCAGGCTAAGATCTAAGCTGTGGGACCTGCTATATTTTCTAGCTCTTGGGCCTGGGTTCACACCTTAGCCATGTCTTGACTGCAGGGTAGGATGAGAGTAAGGAGTGAGGAGCACAATTCCTAAATCCTCTGGGTGGCCCGGGAAGGAAGCAAGGGTATGCAGGCAAGGAAGGAGTCATGGTGAGCGTCACCAGTTCTGCTAGACGCACGACCCGAGCTGTGGGATACACTGCAGACAGCACCTGCTGTGCACCTTAGGCTCTGCCATGGGAACCAGAAAGAGGCTACAGGAACAGGAAGACATTTGCCAACTTAGGAAACAGCTGAGTCTCTTTCTTCAATAATATGATAGTGCCAAGCAAGGGCCCGCTCAGGTAATCATACCACTATTTGACGTGCATAAAAATATTAGAGTCTGTCCCTTTACAAATTGAACGAAGCTTAAGAAATTGTTTTTTTGATTTTTGTTCTACTTCAGAGGCATCCATAAAATCAACAAAGGCTTGTGAAATCCCTGACCACTCCATTTATTCCGATTTGAACTTTTGCTTTTTTTCTCCTTTGTTTATAATGCCCTTTTGGAAGTTTGAAAATATTTTTCTTCTCCCTACTAATTTTGTATTTTTCCACTTCGGAATCTTTGATTCACCCTTATTTTTTGTACAGCTGCCATTCCAATTTTGTAAAACAACTTCTCGTGCCATAATATTTTTGTTTGTTGCACAGCACCATTGATTGATGTCAACACAGCTGTGGGAAAAGAGGATTTAATTAGTTAATTTCTGGCACAGAAATGGGAGGAGGAGCACAAATGTATGTGTTTTCATATGTGGCACATAGCTAGCAGCTAGTATTGTTTTAACGTTTTTCTCTTTTTGTGATGGAGGGGTAGACTTTATATTAAACTATTTAGAAAAGCAGCTGGCTCTGGAGATTGCTGATATCCCATGTGACCTTTTTTTCCAGTAGATTTTTGGTTCTAATTTGATCCAGATTATGGTTATCTGACAGTCATTCCCATCTAAACTTTGTGGCCTATGCAAAATCACTTGATTGTCACAATCCTGTTGCTAGTGGGCTGCAGTCCACACCGCAGAAAGTACTATCCTAAGTATCAGAGCTGGCAGTCTTTGCGGAAAAGACAAGGCTCAGCACCCTATCTTTCTCTCACTCAAATCAGTGGTAAATTTTATTTTAAATTCAATGGTAGCATAAGCAAAAAAGGTATTAGCTTTAATGCCTTCCTTTCTTCCTCAAAAGATGATGATGATGCCTTTCTAGGATATCATGAAGAAGCTTCAATTGCTGCTGGTGCTACCATATTTTGGAGAGAAAAAGAGGACTTTAGCAACTGCAGCACCTTTCAGACAAATAGGCCTAACATCAATGTTCCAGAGACAACTGTAACAGGTGCCAGAAGCCTCAGGGACTGCCTGGGCAGGGAAGGAAATGACTGCTGCTGTCTGTATGCCGTATGCCCCAGGGTTCGCAGAGGGTTTTTCTGCTCAGATGCATTTGGATGCACTGGGCCAGCTCAGATGCAGAACGGCAGTCAGCCTCATAAGCCCGCTCAGAAACCCGGCCGATAGGAAACAACTCTGTGCACTGACTTACTGGAACTGGTTATCTCTGTCCTCTTCCTGCTGCGCCTCCTCCTCTGTATCGTGTGTCCTTTTCAATCCCTTATTTGCACAGTCCCAAACTGCCCTTTAGGCAGAACAATAAACAGTTGGCTGTATGTGCCACAGAATGACATCAAAGAATAATAACAATTAGCACTTCATTTAGCATCTCAACTATAACACAAAGACGCCTAGCCCACAGTATGTTAGGCACATGGGGAAACTGGTGGCACAGACAATAATTTAATGACTTGGCCAACTATGAAGCAAGTTAGTGAAAAATAGAAACCGGATTTTCGAAGATGTAGACCCGGGTCCATCCACTAAAATATCTTTCTCATGCAGACTGATGGTTATAGATAAATTCCTCAGACGCAATTTATAATGATAGTAGCCATGAAAACTGCTATGCTTTTATTCTAATTCAAATCTTACTCTCTTTTTCTGTCACTGTGTAACATGAGGATTAATTGATTGGAGCTTTTAAGATCCCCTAGACAACTCTTCCTGCTATTTCTTTTCGGTTTTCTATTCCCCAGGCCCCAGCAGCCTGCCTCAGTAACAGCAGTACCATCCTGGACCCAGGTCTTTCCTTAGGCCCTCTCATTCAGGTTATATCTAAATCTTATTCTTTCTGTATGACATCACTAACATTTGGTTTTGGTATTCGTCCACACAGAAAAACCTGTTGGCCGTTCTTCATTTGGGCCTCAATTATGGTAACAAACTTTTCTCCAGTTTGAGAAATGTTTCCCAAACTACCTCTCTTCAAAATACTGTTGTAAAGAGCATTCTCCTAGTTTGATGCCTTAACTGTATTTCTCTCTGCAGTTTTCTACCGACATACTCCTCTTCTTTGATATCGTCAAATAAAAAGCTACTTATTCTCAGTTTGAAAGGCCTATCTCCCTTGTCGTTTATGTCAAGATCCCCTGGCTTTGGCAAGGCAATACTGGGCTTGAATAAACGCCTCACTGCACAGGACAGGCTTTAATTTTTCAAGGTAGGAATTTACAGCATTTAGTGTAAATCCTACAGAGATTGTCTAGGAATAAAAACAGTGACAATGCCATACTTAAGCGATGCTTATGTGGAAACCACGGGCAAAGCACATAGGTACCTTATTGCCAAGGAATCCAGATGGCCAAGGAATGATTCCAGATCAGTGGCTAAGATATGTCTACAAAGGATTAGAAATTGCTTCAAGTACCACAAAGATGATTAAGGGACTGCAGCATCTCTCATATGAGGCAGGTTGAGAGCTGGGGCTGTTCAGCCTGGAGAAGGCTCAGGGGGGATCTGATGCATGTGTATAATACCCGAGAGTGGGGTGTCAACAGGATGAGGCCAAACTTTCCTCAGTGGTGCCCAGCGACAGGACGAGAGGCAACGGGCGCACACTGAAACACAGGAAACTCCACCTGAGCACAAGAAAACCCTTCTTCACTGTGAGGGTGGTTGAACCCTGGCACAGGTTGCCTAGAGGGGTTGGGGAGTCTCCAGCCTTGGAGATATTCAAAACCTGACTGGACATGGTCCTGGTCCTGGGCAAGGTGCTCTAGGTGACCCTGCTTGAGCAGGGGGCTTGGACCAGAGGATCCCCAGAGGATCCTCACCCCAACTGTTCTGCGATGCTGTGGTTTGTTTTTAGGCCTGACCAATCATTCTTAGCAAACTATGTAAGCATGATGATCTGGTGAATTCTGGCTATTCTGGTTTGACAGCACCCCCGGAGACGCAGAAGTAGCACGAAGGCGCGTGGGATGTGCGGAGGGCGGCCGCACGCTCCTGAAGCGGTGGGGACGCGAACGAGGCCGGGCCATCGCGGGAGCTCTCCGCTCCCGCCCAGGCCGCGGAGCGGGTCAGCTCGGCAGGCTTCGCTGCGAGGGGCGAGGAGCGCCCACCTCAGCTCGGGGCTGGCGGGCCACCCGGGCCCCACCCCGGGCCGGGG